ATCCTATTTCTCATTCCATTTTCATATATTCATAAACTTGAAGGTAGTTGCAAGGTTACGGCATATCCAAATTTCTCAACCACAACCTGAATGGATTCTATCCGTTCTACATTCGAACAAGTTCTTATCACTCTTACCAAGGGGATCCTTCACTTAGCTAGTTAATTAATTAATCCAGTTATCCACTATCAGGTGTCAAATGGCTTGTTTGAGTAGTTCCAGCACGCATTGTTCTAAGAAGCTGTCCCAAATACACTCTAGAAACTCATCCTTTAGCGGATTTGATTTGTCCAATCCACATGAAGATTCAAATCTATAAACTCAGTATCTTTCTTATAAGTCATCAGGTTTATTCTGTCTCCTTGGTACTGTGCTCCATTGAGTATTGCCTTGATGTTAAGGGCAGTCACGCTTGCCTCATTTCTGAAATTCAAATCTCAAACTTTGGTGGTAGGTTGGTAATAGGTTGGATTAGATTTGTTCTGCTTTTTGTAGACTGAATGCAACGGCAATTTTCCACTCTGTGACAACCAGTGTTGTTATTGCACTGCAAAAACCTGGCTAGGGGCATCATCAGTTCTGGGGCACATGTCTTCAACTCCATAGCTAGGATGTGATTGGGACCTGTAGTTTTTGTGTTGAAGACACTGACACAGTGTGAATTAAATTCATTAAAGACTGGCGACTGCAATTGTGGAGAGCTCTGGAGGAGGCTAAAGAGGATAACCACTGAGTAGATTCGATGGAATAGTTGTAAGTTGTGGTTGTTAATAATGGCGCTGATTACCCACAGCCCCTCATTGCTGCCCAGGTTTGAGTCCCAAATCACAAGTTGGCAGATGTTGTCATTGTGAAGATGGAACTTGATTTCCACAAAAATTTGTGGTGGTTCTTTCATTGGGTTCTGATGTCTAACTGGCAGTGAAGTGCTTAATCATTTTTTTTGTAGGCATTGGAATGGCAAATGCAGCCACTGCGGAGAGGCGATCCAGTGGTAATTCCACCCTTGATCAGCTATGTGGCTTTGGGGCAGCAATGAATACAATACATGACTGAATACTCACTGGGGCAGGGGGCTCTGGTGTTGCAGAGGTACTGTCCTTACCTCTGGACCAGAAGGACCAGGTTCAAGTTCCATCTGTTTCAGCACTTTGTAATAACATCTCTGAACAGGTTGATTAGAAAATATATAGAAAACATCTGGAAGGGCTAAGTCCCACACTATGCGAAGAGGAGGAGGAGGGAGTGATGCTGATTCCTTTTCGTTTGGACTAATAGATGCTTTTGGTTTATTCTCCCATTTTTCCTGAGCATTCATTTTTCTTCTGGGACTCTAATATTTGCATGTTTTTTTTATTTTCTAATTTTAAGTCTACAACTGTTTGCTCCATTTCCGTACCTGGATATGTTTCAGCTCAGGTGATGGGAGAAAAGGGAAGGTTCTGGGATTCTACTTGTAATGGGCTGAGAATAAAGGGCCTAAATCTTATTCAACAGGGAATGGCGCACAATACTTTCTCAAAGGGAAGGCGTTGATTGAAGGGGAAGCTTGATTATTTGCAGCTAATTGACGGAGGATATTGGAATGGCAGGTGAATAGTTGTCAATGTGAATAGTTACACATTCTTGCTACCCTCTGCGCAATAAGAACATAGAGGTTCTCAACACGAGGCAGGTACATTCTGTTAGATTGACTTTACCACAAGCAGTTTTATTCTAATTGACATAAGTACCCATCTTAGATTTCAGAAGATCTGACCCATAAAACATTACAAAAAACCATGGATGAAGTTCTCAAACACCTGGACACTTTTGCTGGCTCAATTCTCAATTTCTATCACAATACTACAAATTATCATTCACAAAAAGCTTTCATTAATAAATCTTCATTACGCATTTTGAGATACAACTTGTTAGAGCAGCTATGTAATGACCCACAATGGCAGGATGAACTCTGCATCCACAACTCTCAGAAGTTGATTTCCCCATCACACCTAGCAAATAGAAGTCAAACACCTTCCCTCAGGAGGTGGTTAAAACTATTAGGTGAACCGCTCTTGACTATTGTTGCATAGCATCAAGTATTCAAACATAAAGCTCAGCTTTGGGGCCTTGGGACAGGTTGCTCATCACCCTGCATTCAAAAGTAAAAGAAACTGATGCAGAAAAGTTTTAAAATGTTAACCTTTCTACGTTTCAAAACTTTAAAACAAACAAAATCAACAGCATTGACTAATTTACTGTTCAAGTGCCAACATATCAAAATCAACACCACTTACTTGTGACTGAGGTTCTTCTCCAATGTGTTGAACAGGAGTAGAGTCTGCCCAGCCAGTCAATTGTTTGTCATTTGAAAGGGCAACTTCTGTCCTGCTGCACTGGCTAATTTCTTCTTTAAGGGCACCATGTGACTCCTCTTCACCAAAGGTTGCCCACGATGTACTTTCAGCCACCGAATCCCCAAAAGCATTCCACTCAGTGTCTTGTTCACCAGCTGTAAAGTCATCACTTTTGAACCCGGCAAACTCAGACTCATTGTTGGCTTCCTGAATGGATCCAAATTCTCCAAAATCCTCATCATCATCTGACTTTGTAATTGTGGTGGTAGTTCCATCCTCACCAGACTCCAAGTCACCTTCAGGATAAACAGTCAGTTCTGTTTGCACATCCTTCTCTGCTGGAGATTCAGAAAAATTAGCAAACGTTTGTAAGGAATCAGTACCCATACTACCAAAGTCACCAAATTCATCTTTGACATCAGCTTCCTGAAACCTAGCAAACTCTTCTGTTGCCAACTTTGAGGATGTTTTGCTGTCAGAGTTTATACAATGCTCATTAACGGTTCCAACGTCATCCACAGCAGTAGAATTCAACACTAGACTAAAAGAAGCAAAATCACCATCACGTAAGCAGTCACTTCTTGAAATTCCACACTGATCTGACTCAATTCCCTCTGTCCTTTTCCTATCAGTCACCACTGGCTCACCATTGACTGCATGGCCTTGCTCAATCATAGCAATTCTATGTGCAACATTGTCTGAAAAAACACCAATGCCTTCCTCATTCAGAGTACAGATTTCCAAATCTATTTCTGCTCCAGCTTGCTTTACACTACCTGATTGATCTGTACTTAATTGAATCTCTGAACTTTCTATATTAATGGTTTCTTTCACTATTTCCAAAAATTCAGGAACTGGTTGTTGAACATTTTGGTTCTGAGTTGCAATGTGCTCCATTGATTCTGATGTATTCCAGTCATGATTAGGAAAGCTTGCGTCAGCTGCAGTACTAGGTTCAGAGGACTGGCACTGGGTGTGCTCTAGGTCTGCATTTGTCCCATTCCTATTTGAAGCAACTTTCAGTTTATCACCATCCACTGCAAAGTTTGGACTGACTTGAACATCTGGTAGTTCCCTTATAGCTGAATGATTGCCAGTATTATGCTCTCCTTTTAGTGGCATTTTGCTGATAATAGATAGAGTTGGACTCGTTGTTTCTCCTGTTAATTCAGCAGGTTCTTTAACATTTGAAAATGCAGAGAACTCTGTAAAGTCTTCAATTGGTCCAGGCATGGACTCTGACCAGAGATTGGAAATGTGAGCATTTGTAGCTTTTTGTTCATTTTGATCACTTGTGTTGACTATATTTTCTATTCCCTGAGAGTGTGTTATAACCTTTGTTGAGTACCCATTTGTCAGAATTTTTGGGTTCGCCTTTTTACCATTGCAGTACTCTTCTGATTCTAAACCTATTGCATGAGCATCCACGGCCAGGCTATCAAATCTAGCAGTTACATCTGTCAGTTTTATGGATTCCATTGTTTGTTCTGTTGCTGTACAACCAAAAACATTTACTGAAGGTTTTGATCGAATTACATCCTTATCAGTACTTATAGTCATGTCATTTAACACTTCTTCTGCGGGTCTGGAGAAGTCTGAAAGAAAGACTTTGCCGTCACTGGCACTTGCCGAATGAAAGTCAGCAAATCCATCTGCATGGCTGGAATATTCATGGCCAGGCACAAAGTGGTGCTGCGGCATAAAGTTCTCATGGTGATCTTCTAAATCGAAGTCAGAATAACCAAGCGTTGAACTACCAACCCCTGAAAAACCACCAAATTCACCAAACTCATCATCAATTTCAGTTCCATCGTCTAGTGGCGGTGGTGAAGAAGAATACATTCTAATCACATCTGGCTCCATGATGTTTCCCCTCAGTTTGTTATACCTAGAGAGAATGAAAGAAGGTAAGAACATTAGAAACCTAAAACTTCATATTTGGGAAAAACCTATTCCATACCATTGCCACAGGTGATCGCAGCAGGTCAGGCAGCATCCATGGGGACAGAGATTGAGATAATATTGAGTCTACATGATTCTTCACCTGAGCTCTGCTAATCAGATCAGTATAAAATTTCACAGAAGCATGCTGGAAGTTAACAGTACATAATATTGATATCCCAGAATACATTTTCCATGTGAAACGAGGAACAAATATGAGAACTAAAACACTTACAATTTTCCATTTATATAATCAAATGCCCAACTGTCTTTGAAAGAAATAAGTATGAATTCTACAGTCAAATCCCTACAGATAAATATTGATCTTCTGCAGAATTACACAAAAATTAGGACTAGTACTAGTTATCAGGTGAAGTAGGTTCAGAGGATGGAAATAACTGGACAAGTACAAAACAATTGTTTATGTAAGATATTCACTATGTTAACATTCATCATTTAGCTGCAAACATAACACTTAGATAACAGAAAAGCAATGTTCGTTTATTCTAATACAAATAAAACAGATCAACAGAAAACAGACTAACTCTGTTTTAACATATTCAAAGTAATGGGTTAGTGTGGTTGGAATTAAAGAAAATCTTCAGAGAATAGCAAGAAAATGAAGTGTAGCGGCTGTTCTGACAGAACTTCCTTTAACACTACAGCCTTCGATTTGCTGTCCCAGAGCCACCTGCGCAGTTAGTTTATCAATTCCCATTCCAACAGTGAAGTGAAGGGCCCTGTAAATGTACATCTTGCCAGCACAAGCACACATCTGAACAGCAAAAATTCAGATCAACAGTGGCAACAAAGCTCTCAGAGATCAGAAATACGATCACTCATTTGATAGAAGATTAACCAATCGTAAACACAGCAATCAAGAAAACTGGACAACACTGAAGTGATGATAAATGACTTGTAAACAGTCTAAAATAATTCCACTTTATACATGCAGTAAGGTTGGGCTGAACTCAGTTGCAAGAAAATACCTGTTAACAAAAGGTAAATGAGATGATAACGCTTGCAAATTAATTCAAAGTGATTTGAAGCATTTAGAGCCTAACTAATTAGAGAAAGCAAATTAGGATGAGCAACAGATTTTAAATTGTACAAGAAAATTGTTTAATTTTAGTTTACAAGAAGCTATTAAAATACAACCAGTTAGTGTAATGGCTAATTGCTCAATTCATATAAAATGCTGAGTATCTTAGTTGCTCTACCTTTATTTTCATAAGAAATTTATGGATTTCCGCCTGTTGCAATGCAAGTGGGAGACAATTTTACAAAAATGTTCAAAAAAAGTGCTAACTACTCTGTAAATCAGTTTAAAAAAA